ACTGTCACCTTCAGTGTGAGGACACTGGTCTGTTTGAGTCAGGGAGGTATTCTACTTTGACACATGACTAGATTTTGTTGCATTTGAGTGTTTGTAAAACTGGAGTACCGTATTTTCCGGACTACAAGTCACTCTGGAAGTTGCAGCCTGGTGTGAAAATAAATGTATATTTTCAGTGGTACAGGAGTAGCAGGCTTTATTTCAGTCAAATGCAGTGGTATAACGTTCTGTAGTAGGCACTGATTTAGTTCATTTTCCTGGTGTGTCAATCCTTCTGCTAGTACAGCTTTTTAAAAAGGTTTCCTAACTTTATAGAGTATAAAGTTAGGAACCCTTTTTTTTAAAAATCCTTCCTCAGTGTTATTTTATGTGTTTAAATATTGTGAAAAAAAAATCCTTCCTCAGCATTATTTTATGTGTTTAAATATTGTGAAAGTCAAGGCTGCATTTAAGTTATTGAGTTTTCTTTTTCTTTTCTGAGCCCTGCTCAGCTCAGAGCCCCAGGCATTTCCATTAGCAGCAACAGTAAGTCTCGACTCCTCTCGACTCCTACCCCAACGTAGTGACTCATGCCACTGTGACTGTTTATGAGCTTTAAAGTTCCACTGTGTTTTCTGCAACTACCCTGGAGTCTAGGTTCTCTCCTTGTTTTTCCATTAAGTGTTCTATTGTTACATGCTGTGAAAACCAATTTTTTTTTATTATTGGCTGGAATCACAAACTAATAATTTTTGTTTACTGCGTATGTCAGCAGAAAAACTTTTTTTTTCTATAAAATTCGCGAATACAGCAAGTATTTATTGTATATTAGAGCTGACAGTGAGGTTTGATCTTGAAACACACACATATATATTTATATACTTATCACAAGCTATGACCAACTAAATGCAATATATGTGTATATATGTATGTATGTATACATATATACATGTATGCATATATGTATACATGTATACATGTATACATATATGCATACATGTATACATATATGTACATATATGTATACATATATGCATACATGTATATATGTATACATATATGTATACATGTATGCATATATGTATACATGTATACATATATGTACATATATGTATACATGTATGCATATATGTATACATATATGTACATATATGTATACATATATGTATATACATATATACATATATGTATACATATATACATGTATGCATATATGTATACATATATGTACATATATGTATACATGTATACATGTATACATATATGCATACATGTATATATGTATACATATATGTATATATGTTTACATGTATGTATATATATATATATATATATATATATATACATATATATATATATGTTTATATGTGTATATATATATATATAGTTACTAACTTACCTCCCATACTTATATATTTTGCATTTTACTAGTTAGTTTTTCAAATAAGACACTGTTAAAAATAACTGTAATTATGGTCTATGGTGCGGGCACACAGAGTGTAGTTACAGGTTATTTGGTGTGTGTGTGTGTACTTTAAGGTAGTACACAATAATAAAGCCACATGTGTCCTGTAGGTGGTTAATTATATAATTATGCGACTAGGACATGTATATTTATCTTTGTTTCTAATGACAGACCAAACACACGGACAAACAGCTATTCAAGCGCTCGGTGAAAGACGTGAAGGCTGTATCCTGGAGGCTGCGCTGTGAGTAGAAGTCACCACCACTGCAGTCAAATGTAAGCCTTGAGTGTGCAGCCTCCCTTCAGTATGAATGACACCGTCACACACAGGCCCGTGGGTATGTGTGTGTGTGTGTGACATGGAATGCAGAAAGTATAATGTAGGCTTCAGATGACCCGTATAACTGGGAACCTTCGTAGACACGTAACATGACCGAGCACGCAGACTGGTCATACGTGGAAAGGCTGCAGACAGAACCTGGATTGTCTCCTCTGCCGCTGGTGGCACAGTCTTGAGGGAACATGTTTGGAAAACAGTGAGAACCCAGTTTAAGGTGGTTTGGAGCTCTGACACTTTGACCTTTATTTCCATATGTGATGATGTACGTGAGTCAACAGTGAGTGAGTCAAACCACTGTTTGTTTTATTAGGGAACAAATTGAGGTATAAAAAACCCACAACAAGGCAGTTGTGGTGACATTTGTACATTCATCTGTTAGCAAAGTCCCAAATCTACATCGACACTAGACGGCAGGCTTCTTCATTCACAGCAGCTTTGAACTGTCGACTGCTTTTTGTCCTAGAAGTTAGGATTTAGCACAATCATTAAAAAGTTGCTTATGGTTTTGTGAGATAAGAAGTAAAATTAGCAGATGGGATATTTTATTTTTTGATTTCATTGATTTTTGATTGAATCAAGAAGTCTTTTATTTTTGTCGTTGATATGCAATGTGTGAGCAGATAAAAGTTGAAATGGAAAGTTTATTTTAAATTTGGTGATTTAAGGTAAGTTGCAACGTACAAAACAGATTTAACAGAGTTAAATCATAATTTAACAATAATAATGAACTACATAGGCAAATGAATGAAGATAAAACTAAAATGGTTTTTAAAAAAGCAAAAAATTAATGTTATGTGAGGCTTTAAAAAGTTGGACAAAATCACCAAATTCACTTAGAGGTTACTAAGCCTAAAGCCAGAAATTGATTGAACTTGGCAAAAAAGGGTCCACGTTATTCCATTAGTGAGAAAAGGAGGATTTACCAAATATGACTGAAATGTTCTCACAGTGACCCAAAAAAGTATGAGCCCAGTGTGAGGCTGAAACATCCAGTGGTCTCCGATCTGTCATTCTCAGCATTAGAGTGTTTTATACAGTAGAAGAAGAAACGGGTGGACCAGTAAAACATTTTACCATTGTGGTCTTGTTTGTAGAGCTTGTTGAAAATGACAGTGTTGAAAACCGTCGTACTTCAGCAGGGAGCACTCCTGGAAGTTGGAGTACAAGTATATTCTGATTGGTAAAAATGGTGTCCCTCCAGCTGTACTTTGGCAGATAGAGGTAAACTATACTTGAGCTTTCTTTGACCATTATGAACCCTGAGAAAATGAGATTAAGAGGGTGAAGACCACCAGTGCCTGTTCGGTCCACGTTGACGTCAGAATCGTTACAGTCCTACTCTGGTCACAGACTTTTGTTTCAGTCCATATTTCAGACAGAATGTCATCAACAGTTTTAATGGAGCTACTTCAGCAAAGACAGATGGAATTTGAGATACGCCGCGACTGAGGGAAATTACAAACGGAGTTAACAAGAGTTCATTTCCTCAGTGACATCTGATATGGAAACTAGACCTGAGAAAACAGTTTGGTCAGAGGGCTACCACACATCATGGGACGGTCTGATTCAAACTCTACATTTTGACAAGTAACAACAAGCACTCTGACGTCCTACTGTAACACCTCTGAAAACAGTACTTCACACATATTCAAACCAGTCCAACGTAGTCAAACCAAGTTGAGTGATGGCCTGTTACTGTCGAACATAAACATCCCTATCAAAACAAAGGACCCGTTCACGTCTACTCTAAACATGCTCGTAAAAAAAACAGGTTCTATTCCACCATTAACTTCAAAGCTCTCCTGCAGTACCTTCATGGACCTGATGAGGGAGGCAGAGCCTCCTGTTGGAGGGTCAATGTTCTATCATTTAATTGTTAAGTACTCGTTGTACTTTGTATGTAGTGGCAGTTATTGAGTCCTTATGAAGTGAAATGTCTAGGAACTAGTCGTAACTACAAAGTTGCACACACATCTGCACATTTGGAACATCCTTAAAATCGAAATGACTTTTTAGAGGCATTATTTAAATACTGTTGACAGCACAGACCTATTTCACAAAAACATATTGATTAGGGAGTTACTGATGCCAAAATTTCAGACGTGTGTGTTTAATTTAATAAAAATGACTTTTTGGTGGAATTGGTGGTTCTCAAAATGTGGTGTGTGTACCTTCAGTGGTACTTCTTGGCCACTCTGAAGGGGTGAAATTATTCATATTATGTGTGTGCCAATTACTTTTTAAAAGTTTGTGTGTAGTATTAGAACTGAATTCAGTTACATGTTGTAGTATAATTAATTCTATCCTGTATCTTTTGCTAGTAAACTGTTGAATAATCCGATTAGGAATAAATGATCTTTATATACTAGTGTTAGCTGAACAGAGTACTCCAGAGACAATGTACTTCAATGTTGCTCATACTACTGAGAGGCACATGAACAAATACTTTCGTGGGGGGGTGGGGGCGGTACACGGTGGTAAAGTGTTGCAGAGCCTCTGCTCTAAATAAAACATGCATCTGCAGAGTCATGTATAAAGACAAAGAGACGCAGTGGTGGGGCAGGGGGTATTCAATAAACCCACTACTGCGCCCCACCCCCATCGCTGCTTTCGCTTGACTTTATACCAAATGGTGAACTCCTCAAAGGCCTGGGCTGAAAAGAGGAAACCTCCACTGCCCTCACCCCCCGCTGGGAGACTCCGTCAATTAGCATGAGGAGGAAAAGGGGGCGCCATCACCTCCACCTAAAGATTCCCATTACCATGATAAGAGCACAGCGGCGGACTGAGCCGGAGTCAGGGGACTTCAGATGAAGAGACGGACAAATGTCAACAAGCCGAGGGAGGAGGACAAAGCCTGACTGAGTTGCCGAGTGACCGCACAGACTCCAGAGGTTGAAACTGTTCCTGCACATGGCTGCGCAGTTTTATCCTGGGAAGGAGTTTCGATCACGAAGAAAGAAAAAAAAAACACCATAAAAGTTCCACATACTGCAGATAAGTTTGACCGTTCAATCTAAACAGTGTTCCTGTTGCTGAACGTCAGATTCTTTATCAGCGAACGAGGTTAGAAAGAGTTTCACCTTCTCTGAAAAACCAGCCGAGCGCACACGCAGCCCAACTCCTGGCACGAACGTGGGGAGGAGAGCGTCCCACACCGAGCCGCATCAATGGTACACACAGATCATAACGTGATCAAATGGGATTCAGACTCACCTGTACACGTGGGGAGGTGAAACAGAAGCAGCATCCACACCAAACTCCTCACTGATGAGGACATGGTGCCTCCACGGTGTCCCACTAACTTTCTCTGCAGCAGCGGTATCCCCCCTCTCTCTCTCTCTCTCTCTCTCCCTTCTCCTTTTCGTGTTTTCACAGAGAGAGACGCAGAACTCAACCAGAGAAAACGGATTTTCCAGAAAAAGTCTCTGCTCGTGAACGTGTGCTGCAGACCAGCAGATATGGTAGCGAAGAAGAAAATAAAACAACAACAACAAAAAACGAGATTCTCCGACACAGACTCTGATCCTCTCTCAGCGTCTGCTGCTGCTGCTGTTGAGCCCACAGTGGCCTCTGGAGTCCTGTGCACGCGCGCAAAGATACTTTTGCAAGTCAAACGCGCGCGCGCGCGCAAAACGGCAGGTAATCTTGTAGGAGAGTGCCCCATCTAGTGGCACACACTAGGTTACGGTTGAAGGTTATGGTGCTGGTGCAAAATAAAAGTAAAACCTGTTTAATTTTTTTTGTCAATTTTTGTCAAAAATATTTGACACATCACAGCAGCTGACAGGTGACACTTTATCAAGCAACTGATCAAACTTAGTGAAATTAAAACACACGTGTCACTGGTTAGAGAAATACAAAAAGGGACTAATAAAAGAGAGCGTATATTTAATCTTTAATTGTGCACGTCGGCAATATTAAAAATGTCCTATTACACTTGAATGCACCACCTGGTTAACGTAACCCCATTTGGAGGAAAAGGGGTCTAGCTCGCAACAGCCAATCAGGAGCTACGCAGGTCACGTTCAGCTTGTCGGTGAGGAGGTGAAGTTCAGACGCGCTGTTTCTTGATTTAAGATTTATAGAATTTAATAGATGTGACCTTGACTATAGGTCAGGTTTCTGAGAGGACAGGAAAGTTGGACAGGACAGGATCACAGTTGTATTTAATGGTGAGTCATTAACCCTGAAGGAAAAGACACAGACATGGAGATGAAGGTACAGACAGACAGACAGACAGACGACAAACAAATGTTTCACAGTCTGGGATTAAAATATAAATTATGACAAAAATATGTCTTTGTAGCCACTGCTCAAGAGTTTATTAAAAAATAAAAATTTTGGCACAAACAGTAGGGACATTAATTCCAATATAGAATTAAATTCAAAGCAAATTTGTGCATGACATAACTGGTGTAATAACACAATGTTATTGCAAATGTGTTCTAACATAGTTTCTTTAGTTTGTTTTTTTGTTTTGGTCAGGCATGTCCTCAACAGCAACATGTACTATTTGCATTTAGAAACCAAGTATAGAACAACATTTTATAGTTTGTATATTTAAAAAGAGGTCATTTTTAGGAGACAACATTTTGCATAGAAAGAATCTGTAAAAAGAATAGTTACTGTGCAATGTCATAATAAAACTCTCGTAGTCTTGGTTCGACAGTATTAAATCCAGGCCGTTTGTCCGCACTGTAGAACAAAACAAGGAACAAATGATCTGTTAATACAATAAGGGACATTGGTATTTTTTAAACATCAGACACATAACAAGGTAAGACTGCGTTCATCGGTGGGAGACAGTGAGGCTAACGAGTTTTAATACTTGTAGTCAACCATCCGGAGCACATGAAATGACTTTAGGTTAATATAAGTGTCAGCAGTGATGTATGACAGTAGAGAAGCCACACGACCAAAGTGAACCTTTACAGTCCTGATGGCTAGTTTTGATGCTATATGTGTCCTAATTGTCTCAGTCTTCCAGAAAACATTTCAAGTCGTTGGCATAATCACAGTTTTGTTCACAACTGATGAAGCCTCTCAGATAACAGAGCCCATTTCAGTTCCTACAGACTGGAGATTTAGAGAGGTAAAAATATAATAATTCAATCACCTGTACGTCCAGCACGTTCTCATCAGTTCATGCATCTCTGGTGGACAGCTGGGTGGGGCGTCCATACGCATCCCGGTTTCAATCATCTGCATGACTTCATTTCCTTTCATTCCCTGTGAAGAGTGACACATTTAGGTCTGTGATTACATCATCAGGTGTGCTGTGGAAAATTGTGCAATTTCACTTCATTGGTCTTTGAACATTTATTTATTTACAAACAAATACTTTGTCACTGTTTGTCTAGGCAACGGTGACCGGCAGAGCAATTCAAGATTCCACTAGGTGGCAGCAGATGGCTATAAAAACAAAACAACATGAAAAGAGACATGAAAGTTGACGCTCTTTTTCGACCATGTAACAGTGACAGGTAGAACAATTAAATGCTCTTCCACTAGGTGGCAGCAGATTAAAATGCAGGAGAGTAGAACTGTGACTCTTTCTTCAATTCCTGCAATTTTATTAGTGTTGTGATCAACCAAACTTGTCAGGTTTTCATACTGATTAAGTCAATTGTCCGTAAGTTTTAAATTACGTATATTTTTTGTTACATTTTTATTTGACATTTTGTTGTCCACTGTGGGATTCTTCTAATTTAAAATATGTACCTTGGCCACAAAACTGTTGTAAAACACTGATTAAGGTTCCAGCTAATGCAATCAGACTGGTGTTTTTAAATGTACTTAAGTACTGTATGTGGCACAATACATGAATTATACGACATAAGATGCACAGTCTACCACAAAGGCTCGGACAACTCTACATATCCCAATATCTCCATCTTACACAGTCCTTTGTTACACGTAGTAGCTTTTTGGCTAACTTAATTCCTAACTTTAGTTCGGACACAACCAGAATGTGGAAAAGCCAAGTCAGTCATACCTTATATGGTTTCTGGCCATAGGAGTAGGCTTCCCACATGAGTACTCCGAAGCTCCATACGTCACTTTTGGATGAGAACTTGAAGTAGTTAATACACTCAGGAGCGTACCATTTCACTGGCCACTTCCCATGACACTTGGCCTGGAGGAAGTAATGGATACAAACGTTTAGGGAGATCTGGGCTGTGACATGTCAGGAATTTGACAGATTATTAGTCAACTAAGAGAAGAATAGAATATGAGCACATGCAACCTTTGTGAGTTAGGCTTCACATCACGATCACAGTGTGTTCCTGTCAGCACTACCTTGTAATAGTTCTGCTCCTCAGCAACTGCCTTGGAGAGGCCAAAGTCACTGATTTTGGCGTAGTGCTGCGTGACCAACAGCACATTCCTGGCAGCAAGGTCCCTGTGGACAAAGTTATTCTCCTCCAAGTACTTCATGCCCATTGACACCTGATGAACCAGCTCTGTGATGTTCTTTGTGGTAGTTTGCCTGCAGTGAAAAAACAATGAAATAACTGTTTATAACTTAATATTGTTGATGTCAAGAGACAAATCTTTTGCTTGGTCTAACTAACGTGCCCCAAACCTGAAGTTATTATTTTGATTGAGTATATGAGGACAGAAGGTGTTTGGTTCACACAGATACTTTTTAAAAATCAAACCTCATTTTCTCCTTCAGAGCGTTACAGTCTTACACCAGGATTTTTCCTGCCAGCAGTGTTAGTAACGTTCTCATGTTACAGTATAGTGACTCGATGGACAAGCACATAAAAAAAAAAAAAATCAAAATTCTTTTTTTTGTCAACAACTTGTTCTGGAAATAAACCAGGGTTCTTTGATAGCACCTACTTGTTTTTCTGAAGAAACTTGTGGAGAGGTCCCAGTTCAGCCAGTTCCATAACCAGCATGAGGTTCTCGGCCTCACACATGCCGATCATGCGAACGATGTACGGATTGTCCAGCTGCTGCATTACACCGGCCTCCCGCAGCATCTCATCACGGACTGCGGGGTTGTCGTCATCGTTTTTTAGGATTTTGACTGCAACAGCCTTTTCTGTTCTGTCACACAGAGACAAACACTGTTAGATTCTGTGTTGATCTACGGACCATGATGGAGGACGTTATAACAGATGTATGACCTAACAAGAAGGGGGAAATATTTCTTTGTAGAATATTTATACATTTAAAATATACACAAAAAAAGCAGACATTCAAAACATAAAACTAATAAAAATAAGTAGGTTAATGGTGTGAGAGTAAAACAGATTACCCTGCCATTAGGAAAGGAAAGTGAACTACAGCTCACCACTGCACACAACCAAACGTGACTTCTGCTTTTAACCCATCACCAAAGTGAGCGCAGTGGTCCTTAACCACTAAGCCACCGCTGCCCCTCACCAGAATCACACCAAATCAGATGTGAACTATTGGTGTAATTACTGTGACTAAACTGCCTACAGTGTGCAGAAGAGTAGGCCCAATAAATGAGGGTTCATTTGACTTTGTGTCAAATATTTAAAACAACGTCAGACATCATTGTTCCATTTACTTTCTCATCTTGTAAATGCCCTTCATGACTGTCCCAAAGTTCCCAGAGCCCAGTTCTCCATCTTCCAAGTAAAGCTGGCTTCGATCCACCTTCGGGCTGCGTAGTTCGTCTGGGTCAGCGTACGGACTGAGATATTCGCTGGTGTCCATCGGCATGGCCTCTGATGAAGAATCGACCGTGAAAGATTAGGAGTCACTTGTCACTGTGTTAGGATCAAGAAAGCTGTTCTAATAAAAATACATTCAATTGAAAGCATTAGCCATTTATTCACCCCACAGTGGGGAAATTCAGTGAGTCTTTGCAACACACACACAGGCTGCCACTGGAGGCGCCGTTGAGTATGTGGTTCCTCTGTGGCTCGATCCCAGAACCTTCTGTGTGTAAGGCTGAGCCTTGTGTTAGTAACAAGGGTTTACAGATAAAATAATTATAAAAGCAGTATACTTGTTATTTTTGGAGTAAGCTTGTAGAAGGTAACAGTTGCAAAGTTAGAGTTTGTGTAGGCAAACAAAGATGTTATGATTGAAATCATATTCTTCTTTGGGCTGCAGGGGTCGCTACAGTTGATCATCTGCCTCCATCTCACCCTCCATTTCCTGCCTCCCCGGCTTTTACACCAACCATCTCCATGTTCTCTCACCACAAACTCTCACCACAAACCTCCTCTGTGGTCTTCCTCTTCACATCAGATTATATTAGATTATTTTGTCTCATATTACATTAGATTCATTTGGATTGGATTGCAAATGTCTCCTTCTGGGGACAAATAAAGATATTCCAAACCTTATTAGATTTAATCAGATTTGATTAGTCTGGCTTTTATTTTTCTTTTACACACGTCATGTAACCTTCAGACGTCAGATCGTATGCAACTTACCTTTGTTGTCACTTTGGTCGTTGTATGTCCTGGATTCATACGGATTCAGATTATCTGTGTTGTGGTGTCGAGTGCTGGGTCTCTGTCACGATAAAGAGAGACAAAACACATAGAATGAATAACTTGAATTAAGGATTAGGTAGAACAGGTCATGCTTTAGTTCTGGTACTGTTTGTTCACAAACACAAATACTGTGGATACTGTGGACCAAGGAGAGAGTACGGAGTGGAACGACGTATCCACACTGTGCTGTGATACACCAACAGGAGGCTGGTGTGTTACCTCACCTTTTTTATATTTTTGATCTTGGAGAGAAAATTACTTGCTGTACTTTGCTGTAAACCAAAACAACAGAGAGGTTATCAGGGCGTGACCTTGACACAATCCTTACAGACAGATGTAAGAATAAAGATGTAACTGTTCTTTCCTGTAACAGTTTCATTCTCTAAAAACAGTTTCTATTTGGACCAATGTTTAATGACAAAGATAGTTAAGCTAGTATTACAAAATCTGGAAATTATCGTAAGCTATCACTGATGCGGCCAAAAATATCTCCTAGCACACATCCGGTGTGACCTACTGTAACTTAACTTCCTTCTTGGACCATGAACAGTAGATGCTCTTATCATTGAAAGGAGAAGAGAGAAAAGATTCAGACTCACAAGAACAGTGAAGTGTCCAGGCTGGTCTAATGGAAGTATTGGCTGTCCTGTTGGAGACAAACGATGAAGTGGGTCACAGTGGGGAAAACACGATGGAAATGCAGGTTATTTCTGGGGATTTTATGGCCGGACGATGTTTTGTCTGTAGAAACTTTAAACCTACATAAAGTCACTAAACATAGTGTTAAAATGACAGCGATACATTCAATATTAATATATCAGTAGTGCTGTGATATTACATTTTTTAGCAACACAGTGATATATTACATTGACCTTTTTATGGTTTTTTTGGCAGGTTGGACGTAATAAGTCAACATGTACTTGACAACTGAACCTGTTTACACTGGTAAATTGATTAAAGAAATCATTTTTAAAAACTACTACTACTTCTCATAGTGAGTTTGTATTTTAGTACAGATGCTGTAAACCTATTCAGATAACCCTGCAGTGGTTTTCACCTGTTTCTCCATCAGGTCTTGGACAGGGTTCAGTCAACACTCGCAGCAGACCGTCAGGTTTGTAGGAGTAGTGCTCCACCAGCTACGGTTAAAGAGAGAAGACGGTGTAAATCACTCTGAATTTCCGGAAGCAAATGCTCAGTTTAGCACTTGTTTTTTTGCTCAGTCTTTGTATTGTTTGTAAGGAGACATTTTCGTTGTGTAAAGGGATCAGTGTTATTCCCTGGTCGTGCTGTAGGGGGAAGAGTTGGGTTACGAAGGGCATTTGTTATAAAAACTTTGCTACATTACAGTTCACATCATCATTTTATATAGTAAAAACCTAAAGTCAGTTTAATATGCTTGGTATGACATTACACTTTTTATTCATTCATTTTTATTCATATGTATTTGACTGATATATTCATCTCTCTGTCTTTACCTGCCACAGGGTGTCGAATATTTTTCCATCTGGAATGGCAAGTTTTCCGTTTCTGTTCAGGTCAATGAGATAATGCATGACTTCTCCTTCATGGAGTAAACACAGAGCGTAGGATCCATTCGTGGCTCTTTGCCGGATCCTTGAAAGAAGAATGAAAAAAACACAGGACAGGGGCATCGCCTTATTAAACCAAAAACTTATTTTGTTTGTTTATTTTTTAACATTTCCTATTTTGTATGTGCAATCATATTCTGATTGCACTTTATATGTTTATATTTGAATTATTATTTATTGTAATGTATTTGATTGAGGAAACCTTTGTTGCAATCTGACTAATTCTTCATGTCTGGTTGAATCTAGGTCAGAAAATATTAATCCTGTTTTGCCCTGAGCGTAGACCGTGTTTTGAATTTGGGCTGATCAAGTGACTGAGTTAGAAGTGTTACAGACCCCATGTCACAGACCTCCGTTCTAGTCTACGTCAAATAACAATATAACGAAGGCAGTATTTTCCCTCCATGGTCAACAACAGAAACCTGAGGTCAATGCAACTAAAAAACTCCTGCACTGGTTGCAGTTGTTTTACATTTTACTCTCACCACAAACCTGTTTGCTCAATTGCTGCATTTCTTTAGCTACATCTTAGAGGAAGTCAGTTGTTGGGCCGAAGCAAACGGCAGCTCACGGTACACGGCATGGTGTTCCACGTTTGACATTACATTCACTAAATCAAGATGTTGTTTAAATCGCAGAAGTTTATACTACATGGATGGATGATTGGATGGATGGATGGATGATTGGATGGATGGATGGATGGATGGATGGATGGATAGATTAGGTAAATTATGCTGAGAAATTACTGTGGTATTTACCAATAATAACTCTCTAAAGTCCTTCATCTGGAACATTTCCCATTTTACTCTCTTTCTTCATCAATTATAGTGTTTATGTCAGAAAGTCATTTGCAAACCAGCGAAGCAGAAACCACTGTATGTGGGTGTGTGTGTGTGTGTGTGTGTGTGCTTTGTGCTCTCTGCACTCACTGTGTTACGGTAAGTGGAACAGAAATTTGAAGATGAAATGGTAATTATGAAGTGTGAGGGAATACATTATATCAAAGGAATATTACATAAAAATATTATGTATTTATAAGTATTGACCACCATCCTGTCAGTGAGCACGTTACACACCTTCAGATCAAACTACTGATGAGTAAACCACAGCATCGTGTCGTAAATACAAAGCTCTTATTATACTTTGAGTTGCTGCGAATGCTGCTAAAAGGTTTTCAGGTACTAATAAAAGACAAGACTCACAGAAATTTCCCGTTTATACGGAAGCCACTCTGCAGCCTCTGCTCAGAGTCTTCTCGTGTAATTGGTCCATGGAACCAGGGCATTCGTTCATGGGCAGTGGTGGCAATGAGCTTCTCCAGCTGAGGCTTCTGGCTGATGATGGCCTGCTCCAAGGCTGCTCCCTGAACACACACACGCGAAAAAAAGAATTATTTTTTGCCAAGGAAAGTAAATATTGTTTTCCTTTTTCTGTTCAGATAAATTCTAATCAATGCCCAGAGACAATGTCTCTGTCATTGGTGTGGAACCCCAGGGTTCACCTCCTGGGCAAGTTCAAATCCCAGTTAGGGCGGTTGGTACCTTCCAGTGGACTCACCACCTGCAGGAAGGTTCAGGGGGGTTGGTACGGTGCAGTGTGATCTGGGTGGAGGCTGCTGCCCCCGCGACCCAGTAACGGATAAGTGGATGAAAATGAATGGATGGATGGATAAATTCTACTGTATCCTGCATCTTTCAATTATTAACATATTTAATGCATGAAATGGACACAGAATAAATGAATGTTAACATTCCTGCCAATCATCACAGTGAAAAACTAGTTTAAAGTTGCTGTGAGACGAGGAAATTTAATGAAATCTAATATATTATTTCCACAGATCAGTTGAGATCCTACTTGAGCAGAAGTTTGATCTACTGAACAAAATTCTTTCAAGATGCAGCCTTAGTGGGGAGAGGAATGAAAGGGTATTAAAAAGGAAAAAGAAGAATTTCTAAATCTGTCCAGAGCTTCCACAGGAGGTCAAAGAGCATCGGTCAGCAGTCCAATCAAATCACTAGGGATGCCAAAAGGTTGGAAATACCCAAATTCCTATGGTAAATAATCAAACCTTTCTCCCTGAAAATTATCATTAATCTTATCTGGAATTAATTTTTGGATCAATTAATTAAGTGACTGCGTGGCCCAGCTTGTGGCCCGCAACCCAGATCAGTGCTGTATAGTAAGAGCTTTTTGGATTCATTACCTTTGTTTTATATGCTTAAACCTTTGAAGTTTAACGTTACTTTGTGTTTGTTTTGATATTTGCGTTTTTGTGGACAGTTTGGTGCGTTCAGTGTCTCTGCTGCTGCGTACGTTCACGTTTCCTCCTGTGATCAAAAAAAACCCCTGTTCTCTCTGGCTGTCCTTCGTCCACGCTGTGTACGAGATGCAGAATGAAAGTTAGAACAAGGTGTCAGGAAGTGAAGTTAAACCGCATGTGTGTGTTCTGACACGCACACACACACATGTCACACATTGTTGCTCACAACTGAGAGATGTAACTACATAATATCCTTAACTCTGACTAAACCTGCGTTTCACGCTACTAAACTAAAACTACAAAGTTACTGTGACAAAACGTCCAAAGTTTACGGATGCACAAATACCGGTATCAGGAGCAATACTTCAAACAAATACTGTACTTGTACTCGGCATCCTAACATATAATATGCTAATGTTTCTTCACAGTTTAACAACACAGTGAACAGATGAGATGTTTACACCTCGGACTTACTTCACCAACATTGTGTGTGTTCTAATTTGTTTATTAAAACATAGAAAACATTCGACATAGTTTAAGTGACACTTTGTTTACAGGAAAGCAGGAGACAGTCTTTACTTTTTTATAATAAATATATTATATATATATAATATATATAATAGAAATGCATTATTTGTGACACTTTCTGTTCAGCTGACTGTGTTAGAAAAACACATTTTGTTTAATTTTATATTTTGAAGAAGATATTGAAGATCATTTGTTTATATATGTATAAATACATACATATATATATACTGTACATACTGTATATAGTGTCATGTGACAATAGTTTCAGTTTGAAAACTTTTTGTTTAGCTCAGAAATTTTCGTTTCCTTTTGGATAGAAATCACGTGCTGGTGAAGAACAAAAATAAAGAATGCAACCGTAGACACTTTACTGGTGTCCGTACAGTGGTTTGGCCGGAGCTCACACATGAACTAGAACTCCCCCACTACCACAGAGCTGTTACTGTCACACTCCTCCAGGCCACTGGGGTTTCACTGCGTGTTTCTTATAATAAATATCCAGTTTCCTGATGATAGACGTATCAGTCCTGGTACCCAGTACCACACACACACACACACACACACACACACACAGGCTGGGCACTCGTGTGTGTCAATGACACACAGTTTGTGTAACATTGTGCTTCAATGGTTTTCCTTAGGAAAAAAACAAACAAAGTTATGAAAACTCTCTGTAGATCACTGTACAGTTGTACATGTGCATTTATTTCTTGGCTGCTATTTTTCTGTTGTTTTATTACATTGAGTGTTTTCTTTCTCAAGACACTTTCTGATCCCTATCAGGTGAGTTGCACTACAAAACCAACCCCTGACTCTGATTGCATGTGCAGAGAGTGTGTATCACCAAATCATCTGCTGTTTTGAGGCGTATCATTTCAGCGGTGGCTTTAATAATGTCCATGTTTGGCTAAGTGGTTGTAAAAGGAAGGTTGTCATGTGTCCTTTCAGGTGTCTAAAAATAAAATGAGTCAGTTGTCACGACATGAAGAGTGTGAACTGCTGTAAAAGTTCACCGGAGTTACAGAAGGTAATAATAACTACTACAGTAGAAATTGAGTTATATTTCCTGTTTTGTTTTAGGGGAAGTTGCTGCTAACCCTTCAGCAGAAACATCAGTCAAATAATCATGTGTTCCAAGTTCAAGGGTCCTTTACCTTGAATATTTTTCAACTGTTTTTGCCATTCTTGGACAGGAAAAGAAGGGTTCAAATAACCACGTTCACATGTGTTACACTGAAATGGGTCATGTGATCTCTTATGAAGTGACGATGAGCGACGCCATAACTTACCTGCAGCTTCCATTTCTGCTTCACGTACTCGTGGATCAGTCTTTCCTTGAGGTCTTCAAACGGCCCCACCTTGGGCTGCATGTTCTTGGGCCTGTTGCAGGGCCTCTTCAGCAGACACACCAGGCCATCCATCTCCTGGGAGTGGTAGTCAATCACCTCCATGGGACTGGTGTGGCTCTTCCCACCAGCTATAGCGTACGTTTGATTTTTTTCTCTTTCGATGGTGTAGTGGTAACAACGATTGGAGTGCAGCACGGAGAGAGCAAAGCCTCCCAGGTAGTTGCGGCTCTGCCGGAGCAGATACAAGCCATTGCCCTTGTCCGCCTGCTGCAGGTAATTCTCTGCTTCTTCTCTGGTGATGTTGCCGTAGAAGAACGGCAGCGTGTTTACAATTTCCGCCATTCGGGCTTTAGATGAAAGCCGTTTCTTCACAAATGTCAGCCACCAGGATGGAACGAACCTGAAGACAGAGGTACACGTCAGAAAGATCAGAAGAAATCCACACACACAAAAAAACAAAACAAATACATCAGAGCCAACCGCTAGAGTTTGGAAAAAAAAATTTATTGTATTATTATTATTTGATATATTAATTTGATCTCACAAAATAAAACTGCAGCATATATTTTGATTTTTAAACACGCACACGAGCACACAGACGTGGCACGAGCTCATAACATGTGGCTTTGACAGAGAAACTAGAGAAAGAAAAAAAAAGTTTCGTTTGTGACCGACTCATCAAGACAAAAATTGAACATTCAAAAATTCATTTCCAATAAAATAACTGCATAAAATTATTGTATTTTCATTAATGAAAATAAGGCGTTGACATGTGCGGCCACCACTAACGACCCCGAGGATTCGCCCCCGTCTACTAACACATGAGTTACTGTCAAAACTATTTTTATGTTGTTTATTTGAAGGGTTTTTTTTTATACTTTGCTCCAAATACTTTTTCAGCAGAGTGACTTGTGTTTTATTATTTACTACCATCAAAACTGGAGTCCTGCATCAACAAAATATATTTTACATTATTGTCACATCACATTTACCCATTTATTATGATGTTTTGTAATATCTGCAAGAATCGTTATTGGATTTCCCTCCGATACTGAACCCATTTTTACAACCATTTAACGATTTTTACATTAGGACAGAGAACTTGTTATTATGTAGCCACTGGTAGGGGGTGCTATTGCTGCACTGTGTTTTGAGGAGAGAGGGGGACTTCGTAATGATATAGGCCAGTGATTCTCAACCCCTGTGCCGTGGCACACTGGTGTGCCGTGGAAAATTATCCAATGTCATTAACTTGGGCTGAAAACTATTATTTATTTATTGCAAATAATTTTCCTTTGCTCGTCAAAGCATGAAAGGCAGAACAATTCAATCCTCTTCTGCTAGGTGGCAGCAGATGGCCAAACTAAAAAAAAAAAATCAGAGCTGTTGAAGAAGTTCTTTGTGAGTGTCTTTCTTCAATTCCTGCCAGTATGTCAGCGTTGTCTTCAACTAAACAGTGAGGTCAATGAGGTCATTTAAACTAGAAGATTATTATATTTCATTGCATATACTTTTTGTGAGATTTTTGCCTGGCCTGGTGGTGTGCTGTGGAGGTAGGGAACACTGATATAGTCTACACAGAAAAGGTAGGGAACACTGATATAGTCTACACTGACATTATTAGACATTAAAATGATCTTTGGTTCATAGTCGTTTGCCAAAACAAGCAGGTTAGGAACAAATGCTCTGTACTCCAGGTCTTTAGTGTTCCTGTTCCTGGAAGATGACAGTGAAACACGTCCTAGTCCACTGGTAATTTAAATGTCGTTAACTGTGTGAACTCATCAAGCACTGGTCCACCTTCATTTGTTACTTACTAATGAACTCTGCTTCTAACGAAGCTCAGCAGGTGACGAAGTGACAGCGCAAATCTACACCACCCATACTGTCAGTGTGAGCGCGACACGTTCAAAGTCTGGAGCAGTAGAAAGCAAAGCGCGTTGCTACACTTTACCCGCAGCTTTAGCGCAGCTCGGCCTCAGCAGGTGCAGTGCAAAATTCCTACACACTGTGACAGACACAGTGTGTCTGGATGGACCAATGAGGCAAATGGAGTTCCTCTGGTCTGTAGCAGCTCCATCTCCAACATCCTTTCTCCAAAATCCAAACCACCTCCACCTTGGCTGACTGACTTTAAACCTCTCTTCTAATTTGCTCTTTTCTAATGCTGTCCATCCTGGTGGCTCCAAATAGGAATCTCAGAATCTTCTTCAGTCAGATCTATGACTCTTTCTAGAAAAGTAATTTGGTGTTTTAGGATTCAAGGCATTTATGGTTTATTTTGATCTAAATTGTGATTTTTTTTTTTTGTATAGAGGTTTGAACTGAAAAGCTTGACAGGACGGCTGGTTATTGGTAGTTAATCTAGATAGCACGTGAATGGTGCAGGAGCAAATGGAAGACAATATCATTTTTTTAACAAATTAAAATGGGAACCGTAGCAACAGGTTTCCAGCTTACACAGCTAGAATTCTCCTAAAAATGACTTTTGGGTAAATCCTAAATAAACGTACAGTCGTGTGAAAAAGAAGGGCCTTCTCAGTGCTTTATTGAAGGATCACAAATCAGGTTTAAAAGAGTCAAAGTTTTCAAGAAAGATGAATGAATTTAGAAAAAAAGGAATAACAACAAAATTAGAGTTAGTGTCGCTGCCGCTTTTGCCGGTAAATACAGCTGTTTACTGTGAAGTTTATAGATTAATTATTAACCATTTCAATTAATTGTGTTCGAGCTTTAGCCAAATTTAACATTATCACATTATTCTTATTATCTAAAAAATTCCTTCAGCAGCTTTATACAAATTTAAGAGTTGAATTTTGATGAACTTAATAGTCTGTGTTTTAGATTTACTAATAAAAACTTTTGACTACATGATATATATATATATTTATATTCTAAATATGATGTGACTGGAATATAAATAATAATTAATATGTATATATAAACATTATATTTATATTTACAATAATTACAAATGATTGCAAGTCGCTCTTACAGTCTAAAATCTTCATTTATTCTTATTTAAAAACGTCGACTTAAATGTTCAGTCATCACAATATTAACTGTGAATATAAGTGAATTTTGTATGAGCAGATTATTAATTATCTGAGGAGAAAGATTTAGACGAGACAGTTCTTTTTCAAACGTTGGATCTGAACTTGGACCTAAAAACCCAAATTTCACTGCAGCAAACAGCCTTCAACCTTCAACCTTCACTTTTCTTTTCTCTTCAGTGCTCTTCTTATCACTTGCAGGTTTATCTTCACATTACAAAAACAACAACCCAACACATTTAAAGAGAGCCAGAGCGTAGGCTGTGCGGCCGGTGCTACAGCAAAAACACTTACTTTGTATTATGTGCTGAAGTGGAGTCAAATGTCAAAGCTCCTCAACTTCAGAGCAGTCACTCCTTGATCACAAGAGCCGAGCAGAGTCTGAACATCTGACCAGATCATCTCCATTTAACCATCCATGGCCAGTGAATTACCAGAAACCAGCGACTCTGACTGGATCCAGCAGATGAAGTAATAAACAGTGAGCTGGGGGAGCTGTCAGCTTCCTCATTTCAGCCACTTCCTTGACTAGTCAATTCTGTTACTTCCCCTTTTTCAGCTGAAGACTGACCATTGCATCTGTTGCACAGGAAATGACATGACAACAGCCAACTGAACTGAATCATCTATAACTGTATGTATGCTAATGTCGTTAGCCCGGAGAAGGCAGCGAATTAGAATTATTTCACAAAAGCAAAAATTATATATGTATATGTA